ATGTTTTTAGAGCCCAATTCTTCAGCATTTGCCTTTGACAGTTTATCTCAGGGGATAGATAATCTCATTTACGTCTGTTACTACAAATCAAAACACCACCAGCAAATTAAGTGGATCTGAAGGCTAAGATTAAAGACTTAGAATTAAAACACCTGTGAAGTGCCTGTAATGCAAATAGTTGTAAATATCATTTTTTCTAGGGGATGGAAAAGCCCTACACAGAGGCTGTTCCCGTTACCTTGAAAGCAAAGGCAGGAATACCCGGTTGGTGCAGACAGGTTATACACCCGGGCATTACGTGACGCCGGTTTCTTTTCTATGGTTCGAGAAGGAGAGAGAAGGAAATGAGCATGCACATCACCCTTTACCAACGCTGGGAGATGTCTTTACGGCCATCTGATGATGACTGAGCTTTTGGCTGAGTCAAAACTGGTGCAACACGGGAATTCAGCGGGGAAGCCGAGGGCACTGCCAGTTCCCAGGCTGCGGTGCAGGGATGGGCCCTGCCTCTGCCAACGCCGCTTCGCCAGCTTCTTCTCCATCGGCCACCTGAAGTGTGACACGGGACGTTATCAAAGCCTGCCCGTGTTTCTGCGTTCCCTGCGTTGGATCGAAAAGCCTGCGTGGCCTTGCAGCAGATGGTGCAGCAAATATTGTAGAACTCCCACGTGAGTTTTGCAGGATCAGGCGTCGAAGAAGCAGATGGGAAGGGGATTGATGGTAAATTCATTTTAGAAATTTCATTTTAGATGTTCCCTGTTCCTAGAATATGAGCTTCAAAGCCCACTGTATGTATTACTTCTTTCATAATTCCATATTGTTAATATGTTAGCCTCTTGGCTGTATCGCCGGCAGCCCGGGGTGCAGCAGGGGTTGTGGTGGAGCAGGACCCTTCTGCAGGTGCTGCTTCCGACTAGGCACCGTTACCCACGTACCAGCTTCCCTCTAGAGCAAAGCATTAAATGTTTTAGCAAAGCACAGCCAGCAGATAGCAGCATTGTTATATATAAAATATACCCTAGACTACGTCTGCTGTGGTTTCAAAGTCATGCAGAAACTTCAGCGCATGTAAGTCTGAGGCCGTGGCCCCCCTCCATTTCGGCGCAGCGGGGCGGCGGGTCCGCCGGGCACCGACCACCCGCTCGGCTGGGCTGCAGCCTGTGCTGCAGGGGTAAACACACTTAACGAGAAGTAGTATTTCTGTAGCCTCTAAGCTAAATTGCATTGAACAAAATTTTACAGGGGGTGAAAATTTCACAGCGTGACAAGGCACGCAAGGCATCTACCCTTAAACTGAAATTTTAGTGCAATGCTCAAGTAAGTCTGTCCCAGCGGATCTGGAGCATGGAGAGCACCAGGAGAGCTCATCTTTTTCTGGGGGCCTCCAAGGCACAAGGCAAAACGCTGCTGTCTTCGAAGGGCCGTGAGCAGGAATTGGGCATCTTGCTGCTTGTGCAAGCCTGATCCTGCTGCTGAGGGATTCAGGCATTGGGGCGGCTCTTCCCAGCGTTAAATCATTGAAAAATAAATGAACAACCAGCAAAGAGAGAAAGGAGCTACTTTTCTCTGACCTGGGATGTGCTGTTTTGCTGTGGAGGGCCTGTGACAGCGAAGGGCAGGAGGTTTCTCAGCTGGGAGGGTTGTGCTGTTTTTATTATGAAAGGAACGGAAGATCCACTGAGGGACATAGTTAATAAGGCTTAATTAAAACTTGTTTGCTCTGATAAATTTGATTGGTTTCAGCCATACACAGAGCAAGCCACCTTAAATTCGCAGTAGCATTTTATGCCAGTTCAGATAGCAAGGTATTTCTTCATTTCTGAAAAAGTTTTTAATTTCAACCTGCAGAAGGATTTGGGGGCTGCCTGGACGGGTGTCAGAGCTCCTGCTTCTGTTTCAGCCTGGGCCATGGACATGTCATTTAACGGCTGTGTCACATTTATATTTAACACCTTGTATTTGCTACCATTCTTCCCCAGAGGATGCCTTCATGCGGATTATTTTCATCAGGGCATTTCACACCGACATAAGGATGCCCACCAGCTAAACAGACTCTATATGCACTGTATATGAGCAGGACATAAGGTCGTGAACCAGGCGAGAGCCCTTGCATCAACCTGGAAACATGTTTATGGGAAAGCAGGTCGCTGTTGGAAGCTGAGCTGGATTTAGCCCCCCTAAAAGCGGCCCAAAAGCAGCTGCGAGCCCGCGGGCAGTGCGGGATGGCGAGAGGAGGAGGTTGCCCAGCAGATGGTGGGACTGGCAAGGAAGGAATGCAAGGGGTTTGATAAGGAAGGAATAGTAATAACAACCTTCTCGGCAGGGCCAGAGCTGAGCCTGCCTGTGTTTAAACACAGGCAAAAAACTTCCTGAGCTGGAAGCGCAGCCTTTTCCGCTGGCTCGGCACCGTCCCTGCTCGGCCACCGCTGCTCTCAGCATTTCCCTCAACCTGGAGGTTTTAGAGAAAGCTTTTGTTTTGCCAAAGCAATTGACTGTAACGATTGTCTCTGCTTGGCTGTAGGACATTCCCTGAGCTGTGAAAAATGCACCTGACGTTTGATTAGATCTCCTACTTTTGATATAGCGAGTAGTGCTGATTAGATAAACAATTGCCAAAAAAAAAAAGCCAACCCCAGCTCCCTGTCCTGCCCCGCAGCGCAAACCAAGCCTCCGGGAGAGCTTCCCCAGCGCGCTGCGGCAGCCGGGGCTCTCAGCAGAGAAAATAAATTTGTTTTCGTGCATCTGTTCCCCTTTGCAGCCAGGCTGCGGAGGTCAGAGCACCCCGAACTAAACAAAACTGGCAGCCGTGGTTTCTGGCTGTACTCAGTACCTGGTGTGCCGCTGTCCGTGAGCCCGTGCCTGGGAAACGAGCACGAGGAAGGGTCGGCATCCCAGAGAGGAGGGGGCCGGGTCAGCAAAGATCCCCAGCCCCGAGCCTCCTGCTTCCAGTGGAGCTTGGGCATCTCCGCAAGAAGAGGCATCGCCCTGCAGATTCTTTGAGGCAGGAACCATTGCTGGTTATTGCACAGTGCAGAGTGAGAAAGCCTTCATCTTCATCTTCATCTTCATCTTCATCTGTGCCCACACACGCGTGCACACACACACACACACCCCCCCCACTCTGATGTCAGGTCAGATCCCAGCCCTGCAGATCGCCCCATGAGACTGGAGTCTTCTTTATTTATCCAGGAATTAGCTGAGCATCGTAAACATCAGACAAATCAAACAAACGAGATTTGTGATGTACGTCACTTGTCCTGCAAACATGTTTGTTGAAAGACGGGGAGAATGTGCACAGAACAAACCACAGCCTTTAGTCATCGTATTTCTGCTGGGAAACAACCTCTCCGCAAGGCGTTGTCCTCTCATCGTGCTGGCAGACGGCGCAGCCAGAGCCACGTGTCCCAGTGGGATAAACACGCTGTTGTTCCAAGGACACAACGGAGAAGCTGATTTTTAATACTCAATCTTTTTTCAACTGGGATTATTTACAGTGAGATTTGGGAGAAGCAATTTACACCCAAACAAACAAAACCTGAAACATTTTAAACTGTGTTTAAATGACACTTGCATCCATGCAAACGGCCCCAGATACTGACGGATGTTGCTGTCATTCCTTTAAGCACTGTACCAAAAAAAAAAGCCTTCCCCTCAGGTGTTCAGCACTGAGAAAAGGTTGCGATAAATTCACTATCGAGAGGGTGGATCAGCTTCAAGGGCCATTTTTGTCCTTATTTTGGATGTGGCAGTCGTTGCTGGTGCCAGCAGAGAGTCTGGTCTGAACTGCAGCCTCTCGTGGTCTGGCACCATCAGCGCCCGGCTTCCCCGACACCACCTTCGGCTCCCTACAAACGAGCTGCCCCGGTCCCTGCTCTCACCGAGCTGCACGCAGCTCAGCCTCGGTAACACGGCTTGCAGCACCGCTTGCCTCGGGAGCAGGATCAGTGCGGAGCTGGGTAGGACCTGCTCCTGCTGTTGGGCTTTTGGTGTTGGCTTTTGCTTACCAAAGCGAAAATACTTCTTTTTGTTCATGTACCCACTGCTGATGCAGAGGGAGAAACACCCATCACGGAGCCAGGTTTCTGTCTAGCACTCGTCCCACCGGGAGCCCTTTGGCATCTTTTATTCCCAAAGCCCTGCCCCGGCGTGTCGGGAGGGAGGGCGATGGGACTGCCAGCCCCAGGCGTGCGCAGAGCCGTCCGCGGCCGTATCCCACGTTCTCCAGCTCACTCGAGTGATTGATTGCTGGCTCTGCCTCATCGAACACCATCTCCAGTCCCTGACATGAAGAGACCGGGGGAGATTTTACTCTAAAACAACTACCTGTGCAGTGGTAGGATTAAAAAAGAAACAAGTTTCAGGTCTATTCACATTTAAACCTTCAATTCCACATGGAAAGTTTTACACAGAGCTTCAGCAAATTCTGCTGGAGTAGGAAATGCTAAAGAAGACATAAAGCACAAGAAGGGGGATTAAATGCCTGATGTTCTTAAAAGAGGAAGAAATCCTGCGCTTAAACATAAAGATGAGGTAAAAACCATCTCGGTTAACCAAAATTATCTGAAAACTGAGAGGTTTTTGTCACTGAAATCCCAATTTAACTATTTTAATCAGCCTAACACACTGCCACCAAAAATTCTGACTGTTTGGAGCCTGGCTCAAGGCTTCTGTAGCTTCAGTCTGCCTCTGCTCAGAAGCTGTTCGGGGCTAAGGGCACGTGCGCTTCTCATTAGGTTCTGCTAACAACAAAAGCAGAGAACAGCAGCCCAAAAGTGTCTTGTGTGGCCAGCGGGAGGAGTAGGAGGAGGCAGAGAAGCAGGGCTTTGGTGGCTCTGGCGCTTAATGTGCTTTAGGCTGATTCTGAAGTTCTTCACAGAAATAAGAATAATAAAAAAAAAAAAAGTTCTGCAATTCCCTTACTGTCCATAGAAAACTCTTGCCCTCCCTTTTCTCTCCGCTCCCCTCTTAGTTCACGCTAAGGATGCACTTCTCAGCCCGGTTCACATCTCCGTGTCGGCGGGACTGTGCTGCCTGGCTGAGTGGCCGTTTTTGGAGGAGGCTTGGCCGGTCCCGTTTTCCTGAGTCCCACCGTTGAGGTTTGGCTTCTCCTGCAGCTCGGCTTGCTCTTGGGGGGACATCATCAACATCGTGTTTCCCTGGCTACCGTTTTCCGTGTAATATGGGTCTTCAGCCTAAACAGGTACATAAATAACAAAGGCAGAGTTAGGAAGGGGAAAGGGCTGACAGGCACCGGCTTTGATTGCAGGCAGCAGCTTGGCTGGCTGCCTGCGCTTCCTGGACAGGAGGTACAAACAACTGCAGGCATGGGAACCTGCTCTCGCTGCCGAGAAGGGGAACAGAGGGCCTGAACCATGCCGTGGCAAGACGAAGCAAGAAAACCAGTCAGGAACTGCATTTTTTCCTCCTGGACCTGAAGAGAGAAGCCGTCAGGTTTTGCTGTTTTCTCATAACCAGGTTTTGGAGCTGACCCTGCAAAGCTACCCTGTGACAGACCACCGCTTTGGCCAAGAAGCACCATTTAATGAAAGCTATGGAAATGGTCTCTTTTTTCTTTCCCTGTCCTTCTTTCTTTCAGCCTGTAAACAGATATACAGCTTGCAGCAAGGTGCTAGCAGAAGTGCAGGACTGCACTCCAGCACATGCAAAGACATGCTGCGTGGCTTGTTACCGCTATTGCTATAAGGAGCAGATGCTTCTGGAGGATCCAGAGCAATAGCAGAGCTGCCTCCGTCCCCCACCACGATAACTCCCCATGTGTCGGACCGTGGCAGGTCTGATAGCAATGCAGTGGGCGCTGGTGGTCCTGGCAATTGCCAGCTGGTAGCAGATAGCCCCGCTCCTCGTTTGCTTGGCGGCATCCAGCACGCACAGAGGGCTGCCGAGCTTCCCAGCCGCCCCGTCGTTTCACTCGGCCCTTTTGCTGACACCCTTGTCTGTGGCAGCGGGATGGGCGTGCTGGACACATCTCACCTAGAAACCGGATTGACACTGCCATGCACTTACATGGGCAGCTCCCAGCCATGCATTTACATTGCCTTTCACTTGCTGCCAGCATCCAGGAGGTGGTATCCGGAGGCATTGGGCTCGAGATCCCAAGCTGTGATGTCCCTGCCTCTGACACGAGCACTTGACTTCCCATCTGCATGTTTTGAGAGCATCCTTTCTGGCAATGAAATAACCTAGTTGCTTCCCAGGACACAACTGTTCATGTGCCCACGAGCAGCGGTAGGGGAAAAGCATGGCCTGTCCTCACTATACAGAGGGCTCACGTCCCCAAAAGCCACTGGTAGGGAAGAGTCCTCAGCGGTCAGCCTGCCTGCAAAGGGGAAAATGGAAATAGGAAATGTCTTTCTCTTTCCTTCTTTCTTGATATATTTTATTACCATCACTTGTTAAGTGAGGGGAGAAATAGCCTTTATTACAGCATCGGTACAAGACAGACATATAACTCAAACGCAACAAATGGAAAGTTAAAGTGTGTCACTTTTAATGACAAATTCATAAGGTTTTGGTGTCTGTGGAGGGGTCTTGCTGGATGAGTTCTTACTGCTGAGCAAAAATAAGTGTTAGACCTAGAAGTACGAGCGAGAAAGGGGCAGTTTTCCCACAGGAGCAATCAGCTAAGTGTTAATTTTAGAAGGCAAGAGAGGTTTCCCTTCACCCCGCACGGTCTGGCCTCCCTGCTCCTGCCCTTCGCTTGCCCAGGCTGACCCAGCCCCGGGTCACAACGCCCCGCGTGCCGGCCGAGCCGTCCCGTCGACCTGGGGACACACAGGGAGGCTGAGGGCACCGAGCCGCAGGGTGCGGAGCAGCCCCCTCCTCTCCGCCCGGGGACCCCCCACCGCTCCTCGCTACCTGCTGTCCTGCCATCTATAAGCACTAACCAGCCGCTCTCCCGCGGGGCTCCAGCTCCGCCGCTTCATCAGGAAATATCCAGCCAAGCCCAGGAACGCCAGCAAGAGTCCAGATGTGACCAAGGCAATCAGGGTCTTCTGAGAAAAGTCCTGGTGGTTCCTCACGCTCCCCCGTTTAAGGGATTTTATTCCAAACTGGAAAAAACACCGAAGAAGAGAGCTGGGAGTCTGACAAACAGGAAACCTGTGCATCTGCTGAACAGGCACCGGGCTTAAAACAATGCTGCTCTTCACCTCCTTGTTAAACTTCACATAAACAAAGCTGGGCTTTGCTACCCAAGCTCCTGAGCTTTGCACTTGCCCTGTGAGCTCTCACGTCCTCACGGTCTCATTTCCCATCCTAGTGTCTTCTGTGGCACAGGGCAATTTTCTCCCTTGGACAAGAGTGCTCAGGCCCTGAGATTTAGAGCATGCATCTGCATGGCTGAAATATCTTTGTGCACTGCTGTTGCAGCTCTGTTGGCTGCCATTTATATAGGCACCTGGAGCTCAGCTTTACAAGCCGATGGCAGCCTCACTGAGAGGAGGAATTAACGTCAGCGTGGTACTTTGAAGAAGCAGAGTGCCAATTACATCCTAAGAGTTATTGTTGGGATCTAGGCCTTTTTTAAGAACACACTACCAAATTTTACAGTAACTATTTCAAGCATTTCTGCCTTCAGTAGTTGTACTAGTGCTCTTACGGCGCACCGCTGCCTTGCTGCGTGTCTGGTGGTTGGCTCCAACATCTCATGTGCCAACGCTCAACAAGCACCTCCGAGATGGAGGCAGGTTCAGGTCTCAGCCATCTGCCCCAGCCTCAGCTGACTGCCTAAAAATCTCCTTTCTCCAGCCACTCAGGCCATCCATTTTTCTCAGCTGAATTTGCTCGAGGAATTTACCTTTTCCCAGTGAGACTCCTGGAGCATATCTGTAGCAGGATCTGCAAGGTTTAAAACAGGAGAGGCACATTACAGAGAGGGTCACGCTGCAGCTAATGCCAGCATTGAAGAGCCTGGCCATTGCTGAACACGGAGGAGCCGTGAGCCCCTTCGCTGCTCTGGAGGCAACGCCATGGCTCCGTGGACCCAGCAAGACCCCAGAAGGAAGAGCAGTAGTTGCAGAGAGAAGTCTCCTCCCAGGCTGCAACTGAGGATTTGTGTTCCACAGCCTCTCCCCACAAACGGTCCCCTCTCCCGCTGCCCACATCGAGGTCATTTCCAGCGGTATCAATGACAGCCAAAGGAATTCACCCAACTGACCTCTCTCACCGACGAGGATGAGCAGCATACACTCACGGTCCACCTCGGATTTAGCGAGTTTAATCTGGCAGGGGGAGCGAACGTGGTGGGTGCTCCCTTCACATATTGCACTCCATAAGTCTGATCCTTTCATCTCTAAAAAATGTTTCTGCAAAATTTTCAAACAAACAGCCATTGAACCAACCAAACCGACTAATTCTCCATCACAGCTATGCTGAAGATGTACCTTCTGCTGGTAACGTTGTGCATTCACTCTTTGTGTTTTGGTGGCTTATCTGTGCTGTGCAAAGTGGAGCAGAAGCAACAACAAGTGACCACCAGCACTGGGCTGGGTGTCAGACCTCCACCTCCCACTTCACCACTGCTTTGAGCCCCAATACCAACACCTAGAAAATGGAGATGCTTGTTTCTTGTTTCTTAACTTAATGAGGTTAAATTAAATGACGATATTATTAGCAACTCTTGCAAATGGCATTTAGCCAAAGCTAAATTTAGGATCTGAATCGCATAGCAAGTCCCTCCAATTTTTGGACTGAAACAGCTGCCTGAAGAGCCCTATTGTTTCGGAGTCCCAGGCAGGGGCTGGGAAAGGAGGGAAATAACAAAGCAGCATTGAGCCTTCCCGTTTAGGAAATGTCTTCAATGTTTTTGCTAGGTTGCTGATCAAAGGCTAGGCAAAAAAATACGAATTTCTCACATTTTAGAGCTGAACCGACTCTTGGGTGGAAGAGGAAGAGAAGTGAGGAGCTGCAGCTTTTCCCTCTGTGGGCCAATTTCTGTATCAGACAGGATAGGCTTTCTCCTCGGGTCTATTTTCAGCCACAGTCAGGCTTGGAGACAGAGCCCACAGTTGCTAAAAGACATTATCAGCTTCCCTAACATCCTTCCAGCTGGGCACATCATCTGAACTGCGGCCATGCCCACCCCCTCGAGACAGAGGCCGGCTCCAGCTGAACGCCCCGTCCTGCCCCTGTCCTCCACTCGCTCCCCGGGAGGCACCCACCAACGTGGGGCTGCGCAAGAGGAGGAAACCCTCCTGTCTTGCAGTGTTGTGCAGAGCCAGGCAGCTCAGCACCTTCCTCTCTTTGCCTTAGAATTGCCTCAGTATTGTCCTGGGATCGCCACATCCTCTTAGCGTACCAAAACACAGCAACTTATCCATGGGATAATAACAAACAAATCATTTTCAGCTGTTTCTATAGAGCTTGGCTTGGGGTGAGAAAGACCAAGATGGAACAAGAGACCCAAGTGTGTATTTTCCTTTCTCTGCTGCGGAAAGAACTCATCGGAGTGTCAGAGTTTCCCTTTGCAATTAGCAGCACTGGGTGCCAGCTTATTGCTCATTTGCTTTGGGAAAGGCCAGCAGGAAAGCGAGGCACAGCACGGTCCCTCCTATCTGCTCTCCTTGCAGACGCTCTTATCTGCTTCCCAGCTTCAGCGCCTGCTGAGCCTGAGCTGGTTTTTCCCGCTGGATGATGAGTTGAGGTGGAAGCATGGGAGAGGTCTGCTGTGGGGGGAGAGCTCCCAGAAAAACACGGTTGGCAGTGGGGCGGCTTGACTCGTTTCACACGGAGGGAGGGTTAAGAGTACGTGCAGTTAGATACAACGCTGTAGGATATGTTATGTATGCGGCCATTTCTGCGTGTGCAGGTACGTAATGCACGCGTGATGCCCAGGAGGTGCCGTTGCCCACTAGATGGCATCTGTGACCGGAATCACTCGCTCCCGGAGGAGTTTCCATGTGAATTCTTCCCGAAGTGCTGTCCCTGTAAACAGGAGCAAGCCTACATGCCATTTAATCGCCAGTTTGCAGAGAAAAGCCAAGTAAAAATTCACTCATCCTATGGCTGGCAGCATGGCTGACCAGAAGTAAAATTAATCATTGCCATTTTATACCCAGGGCATCGTCAAATCTGCTGTCCCACAAGATCCAGCACGATCTGGCCTCTGCTGCAGCTTGTACCTCCTGCGTGAAAGGTTGCTTTCCTCCCACCCACACTAGTGCCTCAGCCGGACCCTTTTCTGCTTTTATAAATGCTTCATTTTTGGTGCACAAGGCCAAGAGCAGTTGGAGAGAGCCCGGGATTCCCTTAGGAGTCGGTGCAGATGGGGACACTGACCTGCCACCCCTGCTCCTTCAGATGCCCTGTTTTCTTTCCTAGGGCAGTTGGCAAGACAAAAAAAAGGCCCTCGCCATCCCAACAGGGAAGAGGAAGAAGAAGAACAAAGGCAATTTCCCGTCAAACATGGTGGGAGATACTGTAGAAGCTAAATTGACCCCAGAGCTTAATCATGAAAAAGGATGTTTTATGCAACCAGGAGGCTGCATTTCCCCTGGGACTGCTGTGATCATCGCTTTGGGATCCTCCTGGGACTGCTCTGATCATCCCCACCTCCATCAGTTTGGCACAGCTCAAATGCTGTGCCCCAGGGATAACGGTGTGAGCTTCCCACCCCAAACCAACCCCCCAGGCACGGTGGGTGACCCCATGGCTGCAAGCCTGAGAGCCCCGCAGGAACCTGCCCTCGGCTGTTTGCTTGCAGCCCCCCTCCTCCTGCATGTCCCCTCCTTGGAGACGCGTGGCCACCCGGGGCTGCAACTCACGCAAGTGCTGGACTCGTTGAGCTGCAAGCAGATGGCTCCAGTGTCACTCACTTCTTTGACGTTGTGGCATGAGATGGGCTGGAAGGGAAAAAACCCACAGTGGTGGTATCAGTGGTATCAGGGGTTGTGAGACAAGTCCAGCCTCCTCGCAGTCCCACAGCCTGCGGTGCCCAGCCACATCCTCACCTTCGGGCTGTCCCTGGCTGTGTGCGGTGACGTGGTGGCAACCGAGACATGAGGATACACCAAGGTGGCAGGAGAGCTCGTCAGAACCGGCATGGACCCTGGGGTTTCTGCTGCCGTGCTGTGTTGAGTTGCTGGGCTCTTGGTTGTGGGGACCCCTTGGCTCACGCGGCCTGGATCCAAGGTGGTGCCCAGCGGCTGCGGGGGGGCTCGGCTGGTCTGCGGGCTCGTCCGCTCGCTGCTGAGCCCCGGGGAGGTGGTGCTGGCTGCCAGGACACTGGCCACAGCTTTGGTTTTGAAGAAAAGCAATGAAAAGGATACATGAGAAAGCTTAAGTCCTCTAAAATCAATGCGTGGCATTGCGATGACTGAAGTACAATATTGATTTGTCATAGTCAGCGGTACCAGAACGTGTTATTGGCTATATAAGAAACGCGCATTAGACTTGCTTCAGTTACCTAATTGTTACATGCGCTTCATAATCTGTTTACAATGGGCTAATTTCCTGGGCACGACAGCAAGGATGCCATTGCCCGACCTCCCCTGCATCGCCCTCGCCTCCCCCTTGGCCCAGAGTCTTCAGAAAGCTGTTCTGATTTCAAACGGCAAAAGAGAAAGGCACCGTACGTCTGTGCAAGGGTCCCTGCTTCACAGCCCTCCAGAGCCTTGGCCTCCCATCAGAAAGGCTGACCGACCTCTTACAGGTGCCATTTGCTGAGCCAAGAATAGGTATGTTGAGATAAAAGATTAATGAGCATTTTGTCCCATCATCTCTTATCTGTTTGGAAAAGGATGGGTCTAAGCTGCCCGTCTTGAAGACAGCAGTGTTAGGTTGCCCCAGGTGGGATTTTTTTGGACAGGATTCAAGCTTTTGACCAAACTATCAGGCTCTTTTTTGAGAGCACAACCCATGCACTGACTTTGCAGTTTCTTAGAGCAAGCCTGTGCACTTAATAAATCTGATTATTAATGCAAATGCTACCAGGAATCACGGGGGAGCGAGGGGAGTGATTACCGGACGTCTCTGCTGTCGGCTCAGCGCTGCTGGGGGCTGTGGGGGCTCCGGTGGCTGCCGTGCTGCTGGTGCCTTTCGGTTCCGTGGCTGGGGCCGAGGGTGCGGGGGAGTCTGTCGGGCTCCCAGAAGCTTTGCCTGGGGGCAGAGGAAGGTGTTAGGGGCTGGCGTCCCCCAGCCCCGAGCCCCCGCCTGCCCTGCCTGCCCCCGAGAGTCCCTGCGGGCAGGGCAGGGAGGCGTTAGATGCTTTCAGAAATTCGCTTTCTTCTTGCCCCAAAATGGCAGGCTGCCTTAGAGCTCATATGGGAGAAGCTCAGAGACTAAACATTTCGGCTGGGTGAGTACCAAACTTCAGTGCAGCCCTTGCAGAGGCTCCAGGGCTCCCGGGGCGGTGCTGGAGGAGGACAGGCTCCTTTCTGCCCTCATCCTGTCCGATCCTCGGGCTTACCGAGGGATGCACAAAGCTGGATTTCATAGTAGTTTGGGTTTATAATCCTTGGAGGAAAGACTCAGGCCTTGGAAGAGATCATTTGTGCGCCTCAGGAAAAATAAGTTGGATTTGCAGTTGCAGGCACAATCTCAAAGTAAATAGAAACATTCCCGTTGGCCTGGGACCAGCTCTGACTCATGAGCAAAAACATCTTTGGAGGTAAAACAGTATGTTTGGAGAATGGTTTGCTGTTCTAACTTAAAGTTTATATATTGCTTCCTGGTATGTTACAAAGATGACACTTCCAGCTTTTCCTACTGAAATGAACTATATGAGTCAGTGAAAATGCATTTCTTCCCATTTCTTAACCTTTTCTAGTCTTAAGATCTATTTCCACTTTTAACAAACAGCTTCAGTCTCTACTCCAGGGCTGTTGCTGTTCAAGATTCTTATCTAGACACTAAAGAGAAAATCATACAGAATACGTTGTTTCATTTGTATTTCTGCCCAGGGGAGCCTGAGCTCCGAGAAGAGTTACTTCATCCCTCCAAACAACCCTTCGAGATGGAGCAGCACTGACAGGTCCTGATCAGCCGCCCAGCACCAGCGCCAGGGCAGCGGCTGGGCTGAATGCATCCACTGCCAGTTCAACATGCATTTATGTCGCGTGCACTGCGGTATTGCCCTGGCAGGAATTTTTCTGACTTGGGGTGTTCGTACTTTGCTGGATCAGGTCTAGAGAACCTGGACGGTTTATGAAAAGCAAAGACCGAGATGACCGCAGTTCATTTTGGCAATGGGTGACAGCGGGCAGAGCTGCTCGGCTGTTCCTGCAGCCGGCGGGTGGTTGTACCGGAGGATGCTGAGGGGGGAGCACACCCCAGCCCGGCCCCACGGGGCCGCCCGTGCTGGTGCATCCCATCCCATCTGGTCCCATCCCATCCCATCCCGTCCTGTCCCATCCCGGCCGGGCTGCAGCTGCTCTGGGCGCGGGAGCACCGGGGGGGAGGCAGGGGCCCTGCCGAGGGCTCGGTGCAGGTGTCTGGAGCCGGGATTTAGGTTCTGGCATGGCTTTTATTTAAGGGAGAAGTTTCTTCTCTCCAAGACAATTCAGTTCCAACTGGTTAAATCACCGAGTTTTTCTGATGAATTTTAACAAATCAAAAGCAGGAGGCATGACTGCATGCCCAGAATAATGAGTAGCACAAAGTTAAATCCACGCTTGGCATGCAGCTTTGTGTTTGCATGGACCTTAGCAGGAAACTTTACATCACTGGAACAATGCAGCGCCTGGACTTGACCTCCCCAAGTGCCACAGCCACCCAAGCACCTTTGAACTATTCCAGATGTTTGTAAAGCACCAGAGGTATTTCTAATCAAAGTCTTTTCACCACTGAATATCATAAATTGAAGCCTGGGTTATTGCTCAGTGTAAGTTGTGAGAAGACTTGTCACATAGTATTTCTTTTTCTTCCCTTTATTGTAGTGTATGCAGGCGCTTTTATAGACACCATGGCTAAGTTTTTTGAAACCTTAGGACTCATGAGATAAATAATGATCCAGATGTGAGCTGGATAATCCACATGGTGCTCAGCTAAAGTGGGTCATTTATTGCACCATACATTTTTACTAGCTTTGCTAAACTTTGTCAATTTGTTAGTATTAAGGGGTTGAGAGTTTAAGCATTTATTAACCTCGGAGAAACCTTAACCTGGTAGTGCTAGCACATGCAGGAGCAAAAGCATGCAGACATGTGAAAGAAAACTGTACTTCCCAGTAGCTATTGTATTTACCTAGCTAGCTTTTAAAAAGTAAATGCCTCTGATTTTTAAAGATATTTTAATAATGGGGCTCAGGAAGTATCTCAGCTCAAATCAAATTAAAAAAAGGAACACTATAAATGTTGAAGTAGTTGACTTGGTCCAACACTCATCCCTGAGCGCTAAACCAGGACCACAGAAGGCAAAACTCTGCAGTGGCAAAGGCTCAGGAAACAGGAGAAAAGTTTCCATAATTTGTGCTCTGCTCTGCACCCGCGGCAAATTAAACACGGGGGTTTCTCCCCTGCACCTCCATCCCTGCAAGGTGGAAGGTGCAACCCGCGGGGGATCCCCAGGCAGTAATTGCACCTCCTATGCTGATACCGGCTGACACACGAATCTCTTGGTAAACCTTTCAGTGAACCTTTTGCTAACTGGGTGCCTACTTCAGTGCTCTGAGACAGAAAGCCTGTGCCAGGATAGCTTCTCGAACTCTTAACAAAGTGGTTTCCCAAGCTCAGCCAGCACACCAGAAGGGCTGCGGCTGCGTTACAGCAAAGCGCCGCAGGTGAGCCGGCACCCCGGCACGTACGTACCGCGGGCACCAGCGCCTGCAGGAGAGGAGGGTAAGGAGAGCAGGGAGCTGCAGCCAGCCCAGGCGTCCCACAGCAGCTCGGCCAAGGGCTCCAGCCTGCATCACTCACGCCTTTCCAGTTTTACTGCTCGCAGCCATGTGGCAGGAATTCAAGCGGGTGGAGCCCTCTTCCCTCTGGAAATATCTGATAAAAATCCCTTCCCTCCCCCTTTCCCTTCTCCCAGACAGGATATGGGTGTGGGGCCGCAGTCACGCAGGGCGCAGAGGCCTGGGGGCTGCGGGGAGCCCCCCGAGCCGCCGCGCCGGACCCCAGCTGCACCAAGGGTTTCCTTGGGTTCGGGGCTGCTCTGACAGCGGGGCGCTGCTCCGGAGCCTGGCACCATCCCGGGCACCGAGGTTGCTCCTGGCTTGCGCGGTTACGATGTGCAGCCCTCGAAAGGACGTTAAACTCAAGTGGCTGTGAGTTTTATAGCTCCTTTTTCCTTCCCTGATTTTTAGAGCTTTTCTAGATCTTGCAAAAAGGAATGAAGGAAAGAAAGAATGCTTTAAAATTACAAGAGATTTTCTTTTTAAATCAAGTTTGGCAGAGAAGAATCAAACCACATATGAAACAGAAAGATTAAAAAAAACTTAAAAAAAAAAGCACGTGTTTGTATTAGGCACAAACAGAATACGTACACTGTTCCATGCAAGTTTTGTGACAAGCACAGGGCAGCTCTGCACATGGTTTATCAATACCCAGTTTTGCCCCAGCGAACCGCTCGCAGCGTCGCGCCGCTGCATGGGCGGAGGGTTCTCGAGCGGCCCCAGAGCATCAGCCCGCTCTGCGGGCCAGGGCAAGCGTAAAGTTCTCCCACGCTCATTGCAGCTCAGCGGCTCCCCAAAGGATTGGGCAAAGCCCAGAACTGCGTATTTCATGTGCAATTCACTCCCTGCGAGGCTGAACGAGGCTGCGCGTTGCTCTGGAGTCAGGCTCCAGTTAGCAGTGAGTCGGTACCCAGCCTCCGTCCTCCCCACGCCGCATCCGCACGTGGCGCTTGTAGAAGCCCTGCACCCTGCCCGGCGTGGCAAGGGGGGGTTATCCCCCCGTAAACCGCGGGGCTTTAGCTGGAGCTGTCCTGGGGGCAGGGGGAGGCTGGTCGTCCCACCCTCGTCAGCGCTGCCAGGAGCCAACCTGAGCACAAACGCCCCAGAATTGGGATTTCCATCGGGAGACGCACAACGGAAACCTTCGCTTCATTCACTTGGACTCCCCAAAGAGGTGAAGAGCACGCAGAGCCCCAAGGATGGGCCCCCTAGTTTTTCTCTGCTCTGCACGGCCGTTACATTGAACGGAAAGAAACCCCCTCTACTTTCCAGCAAGTGCTAATAAAGCACCGTAATATTGTGCAGAAGTGTGGGGCATTGGATGTCCTGGCAGAAGAAGTGACATTTTGCAGCATTAAACCCCCTGTTGCCCGGTAGCTTTGTCTTTACAAAGGCAAAGCTTTTTATCACTTTTGTATCACTTCCGCTGTTGTATCACTACAAGGAACTCGGGTTTTGCATTTCGGGTAAACACTTTTGTCTTACACCCCCGCTCACTGCTCACTTCAGCCCAACCAGGCAACCCTGAATTTTATTTCTCTCCAATAAAATCTTTTTTTTTTTCCTTCCTGTAAAATTAACATAGACTGGAGGGTCAGGCATAACGGCTCGGGTGAGCAATATACCTTGGCAGCAAAGGGAACATGAAAGGAGCACCGTGAAACAGAAGAACAAAATACAGCAAATTCTTTCAATAGATCTAGTCACTCACATTCACGTGAGTGAGGAAAAATTACATTTGAGGAGACACCCGCAGGTTCCTGGCTCCTGTCCCAGCACGCTATGCAGCGCGCGGAGTGCTGCTTCACTTTTTTCAGTCCCTTTTTATTACTTTATGGTTGTCGGGTTTGGGACAAAAACGATAATATTTCCCTAAAATATAACCCTTTAAAAAGTACTGCCTAGAGAAAATCTCTGTATTACCATTCACTTTTTCATAGGATGAATATTTGAAGAGCTGGAATAGGAGATTTTAATATTTATGGAGATTCATTTGATTTTCAGAAAATATTTATAGTTCCTACCAGAAAACAAAAGTAAGGCTAATTCACACCAATGCAGACTGAGGAACGACTTAAACTGTGGCTGCACTTTACAGCCTTGCATGCTGCCTTTGCATCCCCTTGCGCTGCCTGTATACAGGGAGCTCTCACATCCCGATTGCTCTCCTTTTCAAACCAGCAGCGTTTTCTGTTTGCAGCACATCGCCGTGGATGTGTTGGCCAGGATGCCCGATGCAGTGCCGTTCTGTAAAATGTCACGGCAGTGTTCTTTACGTAAAATTGCAGTCTCCACTAAACGCTCATTAAAACGCATCCCCCCAAGCTGCTGTTTCAGAAGTTATACAGAAGTTGCCCCGTGCACTGGTCTCAGGCTGCTCAGTGCTTGCACTGGCATTTGCTGCAGTCAATACTCACCAGACAACTCCACAACACAGAACGCAATCCAGAAAAGCTGCCTCCACTTCATTATTTTTAAACTTCCCAACAACAGCATTCTGGATCTGGCTGTGACAGCTCTTGGATTTTCAGTCCTGCAGCAGCTCTGAGCTCATGTAGCTTGGTTTTAGTTCAAGCCTTTGAGATCACTCGCTTGTGGGGTGGGTTTCTCTTCAGGGGTTGTGCTTATGGTTCAGGACTGCGAGGTGGAGTTTCTCCGATTTGATTCCACAGTTTTATATAGCTCGTGGCAACCTCACTATCACTTAGGTAATTTTCTCCTCCCCACTTTCCTGCCAGCGCTTCAAAACAAACAAAAGAGCAACCCTCTCCCCAGCAAAGGATCCCAAAGCCTCACTGGGCTTAACTCTTTCCTGAGAGCTGCTTGCTTTCCCGTTGAAGTGAAGGCTCCAGCTGGAAGGAAGGATTACAGTGGAGCCTGCTGCTAAACTTCCCTCAAAGCAAAGTAAACACAATCCGATGGGAGCAGAGAAGGGGAGAAACCCCAGGTCCAGCCACCGCGGGCGAGCCCCGTGCATGGTCCCAGGGCGGTGCTGTGGCCAGTGCCGCGGAAAAGGGGGAACTCTAAAAACTGTCTTCGGAACCTGGAATTTTCTCAGCAAATTAAGCAAGGAACTCAAGGATGCAAAATCATCACTGACCTGAAGAGAAGTAACTCCATTAGCTTCACTAAATTGACTTCGGTCAAACAGAGAGCACGAATGAAATGGTTTAGAGAAGGTCTGGGGGAGAGAAAAACCCACAGGCAAAAACTTCTGTGTAAAACCTGGAGCAGAAGAGGGACTGGAGACTAATAAATAACTTCTTGGTGCTCATTTCCATTAATAACGCATTATAGAAACATTAAAAACAGTCTAGAAATACTGACTTCAGTTTTATTACCAGGCTGAACTTTACCAAGTGGAAATGGTTGGCCCTGGCTCTCCGGTTTTCCAGTGGCTGCACCCCAGGCAGGCGCGGGACCAGCTCTGGAGCCGGCAGGACGAGGGATGCTCTGCAGCGAGCAGCAAACGGGGCCGATTTTTTTTTAATTTAAAAATACTTTGATGTTTCCATTTCTTGATTTTTATGTCTGGGTACACCAAAGACAATAGAAATGTCTTAGTAATCATTTCGGCCTTTGGGGATTAAAAAAAAAAAAAAAAGATATGATCATTTGGGAAACTAAACTCTAGTTAAGTCCAAATTCTTCCTTTTCTTTAACAGCTAAATGATGTGGTCACTAAAGGAGTCATTGCTAACAGAAAATCACAGATGAGGTGGCCAGGAAAACAGCTATGGGAGGAAGGGCAACGAAGCACTCGCTCGAGGTAGTATCTTTTTGTGGATGCCCCCATTACACTTCTACAGTCGCATGGCCACGGTCAGCAAAAGGATTAAAAGACAGAAAAAAAGATAGGGTAGTATTATGTACAAAGAAATCCCCAAATAGCATTTCCAGTATACACATTTATTGCTATGACAAAATTCCAGTAGCTTTTGTTTTTAGCTTAGGACAGGGGTTGGATGAGATGATGTTTAAAGGTCCCTTCCAACCCAAATCATTCTGTGATAGGAAAATGTCTCTTGGAAGGAAACATCTGTAGCTAAGAAATGTGCTCCAACATCTATATAAAGATTTCTATTATGTTCAGTAATCTGTTACTGAATGACAGAGCTATACAGCTCCATTAAACACCAAAATATCCTGATAAAATATGGTCTACAACAGGGTATAAAACCTGAGTGCGGACACAGCCCAGCTGTCTCCAACAGCTCCCAGCAAACATTTTCTCTTTTTTCCTCTCTCAAACACACACACACACACACACACACACACACACACACAGAGGGAAAGGCATGACTCGGCACAAGCACAGGTTTGCATGCATATCGGCTTGGAAAATATATTCAAAAGATGAAATGAGAAAAGCAAAGTGAGACAAAGGTCCTATTTAAATAACAGATTTTTTTTTTTCTGTTAAAGTGAGAATTTCGGTTGAATAACACAATCGAAAATATAAAGTTGAAATTTCAAAGCAGCAGCCACTAGGAAGACAGCAGGCCACCTGGTGAGGACCAACAGCCCATCCACTGAAAAGCATCAAGAGAAGCTGCTGAGCTACCTCCAGCAGGACGGGGCTCGGGACCACTCGTGTACAGCGAAGGCAAAAATCTTAGAAATGGTCTAGAAATTTTATTTCAGTACTAAAAATAAGTGAACTGTAGGAAAAGAATAAAGCAAACCAGCTTGTGCCGAGCTCCTTGTTTGCACAGGAGTTGCAGGGGAGCTCTGGACCATGAACTGGTGCAGCCCCATGGTGGGTCCCCACCGGCAGCCGGTCCCCCGGCCCCCTCCTGCCTGCCCTGCCCGCACCGGGGGCTCTCCCCTCCGCCCTGCCGGGTTTCCTGCCATTCTCCTCCAGCGCGGCTCCGGGCTCCTGAATGAAAGAAACCAACAGAATCATCCGGGTTTGGCTGCCGGCTTTATTTCACCTTTCAAAACCAGACTAAAAATAGAGAGTTGGACTAAAAATAGACGGTGACTGGGTCTGCCAGACATCGAGCATGGGAAGCTCATGGGTTTGGTTTCCAGTGGAAGCTGGGCTGCATTGAAATGACATTCCCTGTGTCAAAGATGTGGGGTTTCATTAATACTTATGTCCACCGTGTGCACTATCTGAGTATGGCAGACCATGCCTTAGAACTGATTTTAGGATAGCGACTCAACTAAGCACGGCACAACAAGTAAATCTAACATATTCTCAAATGAAGAACCAAAAAAGGCCCATATCAGTTACTTATTAAGATTATTCTTTAACTGAAAGCACTGTCTTCAGAGGATTTTAGACGAGAGACCTAGGATGCTTCCAGCCATCCAACCACTCTGCTTTCTGAGTCTCAGCCCTTCCTCTAGCGCAGGCATCGCTGTGCTCCCCGTCAGGGGACGCATGGCAGAGGCTGGTGGCACTGGGACCCTTAAGCCAGCTTAAACAAGGCTGACCCAGCCTAACCAGGGGTAGGTCAGGCTTTGTTGTCTGACGTCCATTTGCAATCATGCTTCAGAGATGCTGTGAAGTGGGCAAGCTCTTCAGCTGGGGTGTGTGTGTGTGTGTGTGTGTGTACACACCTCCAAGCATATTCCAAATATTCCAGTGTAAGCAGGCTCTTCAGTTATTTCCGTCTGTTTATTCAATGAGCGGAAGATAACACCTTTTCTCATTGATACCACTCTCCATTTAAACCTCTGTTTAAAGTGACTTAAGCACATTGCAGACGAATACTGTAGAATTATTTCCTCCTTTCAGACCCCTAACAAATTGTTATAGTTAAAAATTTAAAGCCCCAAATAAGAAACATGCGCTTGAATTATCTCAAAGCGGTCTGTATCAGCTGTATAAGGTTAACAACGGCTGAGCCAATTTCAACTAAACATTTACAGGATCAAGTGTCCAAATTTCAAACAGCACGGTGATGAAGGCTTGTTCACATAGACTGGGAGTTTGTCCAAGTATTTAAGGGTGATTTAATTTAATTGTGAATGATGCAATAGACATATGGCTAGGAAGTTATATGCCAGGAAACATGTTTTCTGTAAGTATTTTAGCAGGCAGATGGCATACAATAGTTTTGGTGTAGTCATTTCCTCACCTCTTAAAAGTTGCTATTTTGGACAGATGAAATAATTAGATTCCCATCGTCCTCCCAAGACACCAGCACTGCTGACCCAGAGGATGTGCAATGTTAAAGGACTATTTCTGCACGAAATCCCATCAAATAAATCAAACCTCACACTCACCTATCCATTGCCATTCGAGAGTTTCAAAGTATTTCAATAACTTTCCCACTTAAATCGAAAGTGAACGAGTTTTAATGCTTTACAGCACTCCCACCGCACAGGAGAGAACAGAGGCACGTGGAAGTGCTTGGAGCAGCGCCACGCCACAAGTAAACCCCAAAAGCCAAAAGTTTTGCGTCTCAATCCTCAGCCTTAGCAACCAAACCCAGACCGCACCACTTGCCGGACAGACCAACGCTTTCTAGAAATTACAGTCAATATCTCCTATGTCCACCATGCTCAGGCCTCTGGAGAACTGCTGCGGGAGAGCCCGCTTTCGGGAGTGGTACGAGCATCCCTACGCCTGTGCAGGGCGGGACCACCAGAGCAGAGCATGAAGCTGCAAATAAAATGGTATTTGAGCGAAGCTTGGATTATTTCTCCTAGTAAAGCTTCTAAGATGCTGTCGGCATGACATCTCCTTTGTGTTAACAGGAGGCACGGGACCAAATCCTGCCCGGGGCTGAGCAAGGGAAACTCCTGTCCACTGCTAACGCAGGACGCAAGCCCTCTGCTCTGAGCAGATGGCTGCTGAGGAACAAACTGATTGTGATTCACCTAAGAAAGGGCAAAGAGCTCAAAAGCTTCCCTAATATTATCGTCCTTATTGCAATTTCCTTAAGAACTTGAGGTCTATTTGTTTGATTGTGCTTGGTTTTGCACACTATTATATTTACATGGCAACTCTCGGGGCAGGAAATGCTTCCTTTATTAGTGTTTCAGAAACGACATCCTGAGGCTCCTATCAAGGCATCCTTTGTGCGAAGGCTGTTCTGGAGAGATTACTGCCTCAATTTCTACATCAGAGCTTCTCCGAAGCCATCTGCTTCTACTCAGCCCTGAAGAAACATCCCCGCCTGTGCCGTGGACACACTGCCCTCCATTACAGGAGGATGCTGGACGAGCCCTCTCTTGCCCCTTCACCTCACCTTTACCTACAACTTTAAATGAAGGTTCCCCCTCTCCTCCCTTCTTTATAAGCTCACAGGAAAACCTCCTGCTTCAGCAAGAAGTACGCAACTTGTCTGGGCTCTTAAATTTACTTCCAAGTGCACAGAGCCTTTAACAACCATCATTTATGACAGACCGCTGCCTCTCTACACCACTATTTATCTAGGTGTTTGTATTCTTTGTCTAACTCTTATTTAAATATAGTTTTCAGAATTAAAGACCAAATATATATATTTTTTTTTAACTTAGGCAAAGTCTTGCCTCTTCAT